CCTTCAAACCGAAACACAGCCATGAATAATTCAGATTACTTGCTATCCCGGTCAATACAACGTAGTACACGAACAAATTATTTCAATGGATCAATCAAAGTATCCAGGACGCGGACGAAGGCGCGGATAAAATACATAGTTTACAACCGAGATTCATAACACCGATTGATTGTGTAAAGTTTAGATAACGTTTAATGACTCCACACTTAATTTACCCTAATTAGTTTACGAGTTAGAACAATCAAGTGGCCTAATACAATACATAATTATAATATCATTGTAATTTTCCTCACCACTGTTTGTAGGCACCACTATTTCCGGCAGCATTTATTTGCTGCCGGCTACAGCTTCATTACTTTTAAAGAATCTATTATTATAGTCGGTATCAATTAAACCAGAGGGAGACTGTACAAAAGTCGATTGCTTAGGTACCTCTGTCTCATTCGTGTTTCTACCGTGAAGCAGTTGTTTGCATGGCTGTGTTTCGGTTTGAAGGGTGGGATATGGCGTGAATTTACTGGGTACAGAGGAATAACACCTGAGTCCTCTGGAATGGCAACGCATGGGGGGTATCATGGGCGAAATAGTACACTCTGTTATGTCCATGGTACTGCTCATGTCTATAGGCGACGGTTACCACTTTCCATCAGGTGGGCCGTCAGCTTGTTTGCCATTCTAAGTTGCATAAAAAAAAACATAATGAGAATGTAAACAAAACAAAAGATATGTGATTATTAAGTTAATGTCTCAATTTGTTACTACTGTCATTTAGAGAGTGTGTCTATATAATAATTTCAACAAAACTTAGTTGCCTTTTCAAATTCTGTTAAAACAGTATAATGAATCTACTAAAAATTATGACATTTTTGACGAGAGCTTCCTAAATAATACACACGAGCACTAATAAAAAAAATTGCATAGAAATCGTGCCCAGAGGATAAATAGGGGACGACAACTCATATCGAATGTAACTTGGAAAAAATATCATCGGACGCAATGTTAGTAGCCAAATAAAACTGTCGTATTATTATGTCGTTAAATTAAAGTCGCCGCCAAAACCCGGATAAGGGCTAGGTCCCGCTCACTATGAGGAACTTGGGGCACGGCGCGTAGACAATGGGCCCACGGGTCGAATTCGAAACACGAACACTTTGGGGGATCCCTCAATACGTGACAACTGAGCAGTATTTATCTACCTAGTTAAGTGTTACGTGGGAATTACTGTGTAATGCACGCTAGCTAGTTGAGAGTTAAGAAACATATTCTACAATCGATCGGGAATGATTTATCCACTGTGAGATACACTGAATTACAAATACACATTTAACAGGTAGATTAAGAAAGGAATTATCGAAATAAGTGCATAATCGGATAAGATAATAATACCAGAGGGAGACTTTGTACAAAAGTCGATTGCTTGGATACCTCTGTCACATTCGTGTTTCAACCGTGAAGCAGTTGTGTTTGCATGGCTGTGTTTCGGTTTGAAGGGTGGGATATGGCGTGAATTTACAGGGTACAGAAGAATAACACCTGAGTCCTCAGGAATGGCAACGCATGGGGGGTATCATGGGCGAAACAATATACTCTGTTATGTCCATGGTACTGCTCATGTCTATAGGCGACGGTTACCACTTTCCATCAGGTGGGCCGTCAGCTTGTTTGCTATTCTAAGTTGTATAAAAAAAAAGATACCGCCAAACGACAAATAGACTTAAACGACTTCGTTCGCGTTTCCGTCATTTTTCGTAAAATAAGTAGCCTATGTCCTTACTCACGGTTCAGTGGTTTTGATGTAACAGACACATTTCCCTTCACTGCTCTCCTCCTGTTGATCGTAGCGTGATGAAAAGTATACTATAACCTGCCCAGGAGTATGAAGAATAATTGTACCAAGTTTCGTTAAAATCCGTCGAGTAGTTTTTGTTTCTATAACGAATATACAGACAGCCAGACAGACAAAAATTTTACTGATTGCATTTTTGGCATCAGTATCTAATCTAATCACCGCCTGATAGTTATTTTGGAAATATATTTCATGTACAGAATTGACCTCTCTACAGATCTATTATAAGTATAGATTAAATTTCAACTACCTACTCGTATAAATTTTTTGGACGAACCCAGTATCCGATATACATGTTTAAATATTAACCAATAACATCTATTAAGTGCTAGAGGCGCTTAGATTAGGTAGGAGTAACCGGTTATGGTGGGGGGAAGGGATTCTCAGTAATGGGGTCTCTAACAGTCCCCGTTGTTTTGTATCACACGAAGCCTATTACACACTACACAGTTACTTGAAAGACAAATGTGCATGGTGTTAGTCGAACCAGTCGTCATGCACGAACTTTTTAATGAGCATGCAATTTTAGATATATAATATAAATACACATAATATTAACAGAGATTTAAAAGAGTAACTGTTGAGTTTCCAGCGGGCTCTTCTTAACAGATAACAATTTTCCGAACCCTGCATTCATATGAAACAATTCTAATGATTTTAATTTAAATAAAGATGATAATGAATTTGTGTGCCGATAACTCGGGCGAACTCGACATTTCATTTTTTTTTATACCACTGAGGTGGCAAACAAGCATACGGCCCACCTGATGGTAAGTGGTTACCGTAGCCTATGAACACCTGCAATACCGGAGGTATTACGCGTGCGTTGCCGACCCTGAAGAAACCTCTTTACCCCTCTTTTGAAGAACCCCATGCTGTAGTCTCTTGGGGAATTTCACGTATTAAATATCTATATATATTAAGTATCTTCATTTTCACGTATTAAAAAAAACCGGCTGCATTTGTAGGCAAACAAACAGGTAGTAAGCAAGAAACAATAACAATCGCACACAATGGCCACGACCAGCCCCCCTTACCCCCCGCCGCGCGCCCTCCACGTGACCACTCGGTCCGGTGTTAAGTCTATTTTATCACGAAACTACCACATAAATGTCTCTAACAGAATCCTCACTAATAAGTATGAATTTGTTTATTTGTTTGTTACCTCTTCCCACCTTAATGGCTTAACCAACCATCATGAGGGGGAAAGGGATGTTAGTCTAAATGGCCCATTGCTACCAATATACCCTGTCAGGTCGACCACTACGCGGTTCTCCTTAAAAACCATAGTTGTTAGTTATTCTTGAATTCGTCATCATGTGCCAACTGACCTGCTTTATCCTCACCTTTCACCCTTCACTGGTGCCCCGTCAGTGTATACCGATAGCACAGGTGGGGTCACCATTTCATTTTCACTCATTAAAAAATGCAATCATAGTAAAAGGAACACGTATGTTCAGATCCTAATTTCTTTTAACCCTTCTTTGCATAATGCTGGAAATTTCCATCATAACATTGAATGCTCAAAAATTATATAAAACAACAAGTTCACTTAAAGTTGATCGTGTCTGGATACCATTTTAATGTCCATCGCAGAAAAAACAACATAGCTGTCAAATTTATTTTTTTAACCATTTTTCCTTTAATTGTGAACATGAATTATATCACTTTGATTTATTTCATCAATAAAAAATCATAAAAAGAAAGGCTAACTGACACCACATTTAATGGGAAAAGAAATTATTATAATTTCATTGTCAGAATCAATGAATGAAAACTCTTGAAAACCCTTCAATGAATGATAAAGATTAATAATATGTACACAAACAAAATAAATAATTAATTACATAAACTTACTTAACCACATTCCCTAATCCTATACGTATCAGAAACCAAAAAAGTGCTGCCAAGTTAGCCGTTTCGCGGCTAGATCTAGCCCCTGTCTTTTTATCAGGTCCAGTTTATTTACAATTAGTCCTTAGTTCCAGATTTAACCCTTTATTAAAATCCATGGTCACAAAAATTGAACAAGAGAATTTTTTTTATTTGTTTATTTATTTTTCTTTTTTATTTTATCCTAATCATTAATTAACTGAGTATTCTGTCTAAAAAATAAGAAACGGAATAATTTTCAAAAAGGAACTTGGGTCTATAAACGATCAAATGTTACGATGCTCCCATATTGACAACACGGCGTCTCCAGCTGTCAAATTAATATTAGGTACATATGTAGACTTTGTTTAAATGTGATTTAATAATATTTCAATAGTAGTTTTTATTTACAACTTCAAATCTTTTTCCGGGGCAACTTATGTCCTCTTCCCACTTAGGTAAATACTACATGTATAACAAGTTTCATAGTTATTATTCAACAAATTTCACGATGATTGGTTAAGTCGTTGAGGCGTCAAGACATAACAAACAAACTTATTTTCACATTTATAATTAAGGACAAGGATTGTACTACAATTACAGCCGAATCCTTTCACGGAGGGTTACAATCAAGTCCCATTTTTTACGGACATATTGACAAATTTAATTTGTTAGTAGATGTTTAATTTTTACTTGTCCTATAAAACGTGTATTACACGTAAAATTAATATATTCATATTAATACTAAAACGCTAATCGATACCGAATTTCCCTTTATCACAACGTGTAAAATTTCAAATAATACTCCAATTTATGTTACAACAAATAGAAACATGATAAACGGAAGAGCAAATAGCAACCAATTTTATTGCCAATCACTATCATTATAAAAATAATTCAATGACAGTACGATAAAAAACAACTCTGGGTATTTGTGACAGCATCTTACGACAGTTCGGCGCCTATCAATTATTAAACAATCGTATGAGAGGCGACCTCTGCACGATGCGAGCCCACCGACGCCTCCCAATCCCAGTTATCTACCTATTACGATTATAACATTCACCAATAAATTAGATAGTTTTCTAGGTTCAAGTTAATCGATCTACTATGTTTACATGAATATGAAAGCTGCACGAAATTATAGCTATGGGTTCATTGATATCCTGTTTATAGGGCATAATGTAGTTAGTTAGTAGGGCTAGGGGGCGACGTGGTGGCGGCGGGGTGGCGGGGCGGCGGGGCGACGGGGCGGCGGCCGTTGAGCCGTGTCGGGCTGTCGAGCGGTCGAGCGGTCGAGCGCCGCCTCAGTCGGGCCGGGGAGCGAGGCGCGCGCCGCTCTCTTCTCTGTGACGTCCTGCGCGCGTAATTATTTCCATTGAGCCGACGGAGCCCGAACGCACCCGAACTGCGTCGAAGCCGACCAGTTCTACATCTTTTACTAGTACGCGGCTGCCACTTTACACGCGCGCTCGTAGCCACGAAACATTAATTTGTTTTTTAATAATATTCCTAACGCGATAAACACCGCCGTCCGGTGCATATATTGTGTGACTATGTGAATGTACCGACGGCCAGTGGAGCTCGATAGCTAGACCCCTCCCGAGTGAGCCGTTACCTGTGCAGTGTAGTGAGTGCATATCGTTTTCCATTTCGACCTCGTTTACGTGACTTTGTGATTTTACTGGACGCGAGGCCGGCGCTCCGGCTTTCTATCGGTAGCATAGGAGCACCGAGAGGTGGAATCGATGAGCATTCGCGTTCGAATAGAATGACAATTCGTCCATTGATCGGGTAAGTTGAAACGCGTGTGATCATTCGATAGCATGGCTCGTCATTATAAACAGTGACTCCGTGTCAACACAACTGAGAGAAATGTGTTGTCGCGCGCAATCTATATTTGTCCCTTGTATCCCGGAGGCCGCGATTCGGTCGAAACAGTCTAGCGTGTGCCTATGTACACAACAAATTCATCAGCGATTAATTGTCATCTGAGGTGGCATGCAAGGAAGAGGAGGGGCACCACGGCCAGCGGCTGTCGCGTCGCGCGTCTCCCTGTCGCGCAATCATAACCCACGGTCTTTGAACTGTACCTCCGCGTATATTGTTAGCTATTTTGTTTATGCGTACGTTGTCATTTCTAGAAATATGCTTCGATAGTAGTACTGTGTAACCGTACATAACGTTACCTAACTCGATTAAAGACAATAAATAAATGTCGATAAAAATTTTGATACATGAAAAATACAATGTCAACTGAATAAACATAGGTATTTATCATCAACTGTAAACACTAAAAGTGTAAACACAGATTAACAATAAAAGTATTGTTATATGTAAATATAAATAAGTTTACTATTGTAATCTTTTGGAAGAAACAATAAAGAATATCTATCTATAAATACCTCATATATAAAAGACTTCTACTGAATAATATAAAAAAATATAAAGTATTAATATTGGATTTTTTCTTATTTTCAGGCTCATTCCAACCAAATGGTGACTGGATGACGATATCGGCCCGTTCTCCAGACAAAGAGCCATCACCGCCGAAACAGATCAACTTTGCAGAGCCACTAGTGGAGTCGGTGCGAGTGTACCTCGCCAATGAGCTGCCTTCCAAGGAGCTAGCGCTCGTGCCGCGAGAGCCCACACCTCCGCCTTCAGTCGCCCCGCAGCTCTGCGATGTTGACATAGCCACCCACACCGCATGTGAAGAAATCAAAGGCATCAACTTCGAACCGCGTCTCAAACGAAATGACTTAAACAACAACGCCTCGCGACAGCAAAACGAAGGTAGACAAAACGGCGGCATGCCCAGCCAAGCAGAACTGATGCAACGGCAACCGCTGCTGGCGCGCGGCGTCAAGAAAGATGCGCCCCAGCCGACAACCGACGAGTCCGACCCGGACCAAGATCACTCGCCGCAGCGGACGCACACCGGGGACTTCATTGTGGAAATACCCCCCGGAACCGTCAGAGAGGAGAGATATCCAAAAGAAATATGGAAAACGATTTTATCATTTTTCTTTTTATTTCTGTGTGTGTGCATCAATATGATGTCGCTGTCGTTAGTGCACGAACGATTACCAGATAGGAACACGACGGCTCCTCTTAATGACATCGTACTGGACAATATAGAAGCCAGAGACTGGGGCCTGGCTGTGTCGGAGTATCTAATAATGATATCGACGACGGTGGCCACGCTAGTGGTCGTCTTCCACAAACACAGATTTATTGTGGCTCGAAGACTGTTTTTCATCATCGGCCTGCTCTACCTGTACCGGTCGGTCACCATGTTTGTGACCGTTTTACCGGTGTCGAGCACTACGTACTTCTGCAGCCCCAAGAGCAACAACACGACACCGCTGCTCGTCATCAAAAGAATGTTTTACCTAATATCAGGCTTCGGTCTGTCTATCAACGGAAAACATACATATTGTGGTGATTATATATATTCTGGACATACTATGGTTCTTGTATTAAGTTATCTGATTGTAGCAGAGTATTCACCAAAAAAATTGTGGCCCGTGCACTGGGCGATGTGGGGCTCAGCGGTACTGGGCGTGTCTTTTGTCCTATTAGCGCACGGACATTATACAGTGGACGTAGTGATCGCCTACTATGTGACTACAAGATTATTCTGGACGTTCCATTCGTTGCTAGTGACGCCGCACCGGAGCGGCAACGGCTACAACCACTACATGATTCAGCGCGAGTGGTGGTACTGGCTGTTCACGTACCTGGAGCGGAATGTGCGGGGGCCGGTGCCGCGGCGGTACGACTGGCCGCTGCCGTGGCCGCGCACGAAATTGTTCAGCCGGCTCAGCTAGTGACGCGCTCGTGCGACGCTGCCACCCCCGGAACGCGTATGACGCTCACTCACCTTTTGCGAGTGCCGCTTCAGGACCTGCAGCTCCTTTGGGCTGGTACGCGTGCAAATGGCCAGCGTGAGCGTGTAGTCGAACTGGTGTACAATCAGGTTCAAATAAACGGTCTCCTCCCAGTCGATTTCCGGATCACCGATGGGCAATTTCTTCGAGTCCTTGCGAAATACTTCGACGTCAGTCTGCGAACAAAAACAATGGACAGAAAGGATGAGGGGACCGGTGAACCTTTGGCACGTGACTCGTTTGATCGGTGGCAAACGGCGTCGCCGAACGCATTAGGCTGTGCTTAGTAACCGTTACAATATGATGTGAGGCAGTGAGCGTCCGTCGCGCGTGTAATGTGACAACTCGATCAGAGAGAGCTCATTACCCAAAGCGAACTGTTCTACTTTCTGACAACCTCGTACCTATGCTTTTATTGTTGAATAGAACTATAAGATTTTAATTTTAATTGACAGACAACAATACGATCAAAATGTCAGCTGTTGATAGAATTTTTGTTTTTGTAAATTGTATATTTTATAAGTGGTTATTGTAATCAATTTAAAAATCAGCTATTTATTAGCGAATGTACTGTGATCAGATGATGCGGTGGATGGGACGGGATGGCGTTCGCTTGTGATCGCGGACGAGTACAGAGTAGTGCATAGTCGTAATAACTTCATACTATAAGAAATAATATTTTTATATTGTTTAAAATAAAGTACATAACTGTTGTTGAAACATACTTTTTGTATTTCCAAAGATTTGTCTAATAGAGTTTTGTAACATTCATCCATATGGTGCTAAACTAGAAATTAAATTAAAAATTTCAATGAAATAAATTTAAGTACTTATTCGCACCTAAATCCTGAGAGTAGCATATCTCGTGGTCACACATCGTCGCAAAATTGTCCATTGATAAGTTTCAATTTAATTATTTTTTAAACGTTGTGTACATAAGTATTGGCGAGCGGCTAGCGACGTGCGGCCACCGACCGTGGTGGTGGTGGTGGGTCGGCAGTCACATTGCAAGCTCTTGCTAATACACCCTGCCCAAGTGTTGATTTGTTTTGTACATCTATTACAATTGTCTACAGCATAGTATAGTCAACAAATAGAATGTGGAAAACTTCTACAAGTTACTGGAATTCCATCACGAGTACATTATTCATGAAGTAGTAGATAATCAACTAATATCTCAATAATATCATATAAAAACACATCCTATTCAGACTACGTATACGATAATTTTATCATAATGTTGATACGATATCTCTGTATGATAACATTAATATTTTTTTCATATCAAACTGCCATAAACAGATATATACCTATACATACAAAATTATTATAATATAAATGTACGAGTGGACAGAGTCGTAGTTTGCTTTCCATCAGTTTACTGTTCTATATAGCATAATAAACCTGACAAGGTTTTCCTTCACTGGGCCGCTACATATACTGTGACAATGGTTGTACAAACCTACCTCGTACTTGGGCAGGTACCGCGAGGAGCCCTTCACGTGGCGCTTCCTAACGAAGAACAAGAGATCGTCGCAGTCGATCGCCTGCTCCTCTTGAAACAGGAAGTGACGCACGAACAGATCTGTCCAATATGTTGTTCCTTGCAGCACTACAAAGCCACTCTCTGAAACACAAACGAGAAAGCATTCATGTTAACCGTGTTGTCAGTTCCGATTGTAGCAAACTTGGAATTCGTGCTGCTCTCACTTGATTATCAAAATATTGATTAAGAGATAACATGAATTTTAAGTTTCAAAATATTCCTTTAAATAAAGAGCACAACGTTGGATTACAAAATTCGATCCAAATAGTTTGTAACATAATATTAAATTAGTTAACAATGTAGATAGAAATGGAATTGTCTGATGTTAGATTTGTGTACTGTAATGTTTTTATGTATGTAAAATATCTAGGGACCTGTCGATGTGTCGCTTGTAATGTATTTGATTGTAAAATGCAAAGTGCCTTCAATGTAAACACAAAGAAAGTGACTGTTTTCGGTAGTGTAGGGAAGGTTTATGTTGCTCTAGTACACAGTAGCGACAGCGACATCACAGCACCTGCGTTACACAATGGTTTTTACTTTGTTACCGCTGTCTGATTTATTACCTGCTACTGAGGTTATAATGTAAAATTTAATTTATTTTATTTATCCAATGTAATTATCTATTATTTAACAATAAACTATCTGCTCAAATTTCTCTCGACGCGAGAATTACTAGTAATACATACATATTGTAATATACCAATTTTCAAATTTCCATAATGTGTAAAAATTTATTCTAATTTCTCATTCACTGAGCGAATCAACATGTTTGTTTTGCACCGATACTTTGTTATTCTGTGATTTTTGCTATTAATTCTCCTTTCATCAAATAGCATTGTTTTTATAAAGAAATACTAAACGAAAACAAATACCTGAGTACCTGATACAAATAATGTTGTACCTACAATATCGCTTTCACACAAAAGAGCTATTTATTGCGTTGACGCTGAATCTCAGAGTATTATCAGCTGTATATACAATGCTTCTGTATATGCAGCTTGCCTTATAAATTGTAACTTAAGGGAATGCCTAATAGATCTCTTAAAGTATTTTTAATGTATGTATATTTAACTACCCATAGCAGTATACCAAATAGAGTAATGTGTTTTTGTATGTGTGTATATCAGAATGGACTATGTAGTGTTACTGCAAGGCTCCACAACATTCAGTCTTGGCTACATCACACATGATATTTTAATGTTATCCATCAATTATATATTACGTTATTCCTTGTAAATTATTTAAAAAATAAGTAATTACTTTTCTGTGTCTATGTTGTCTTGGGAATATAGAGGTGATATTATAACATTATTTATATAAAATAAAAGAATTATGCCATTGATAAATATTATTTTAGTGCAACATTCTGTAAACCCCTACTTGAACTTGTGTATTGGTTAACAATATTCCAAAATTATAATTAGCGATAGCTGAGCGATGTACACAGATTTCGCTGTCCTCAGATATTAAAGACAGGAAATGTTGCTATTTCATGTACAAAACTAAACTACTTATTACATTATAATACGTTCCCACAGTATGGGAAATTAAATATGTGTTCATTTATGGCATGATCTAGTTGTGTGCCAATTTTCATCCAAATTCGTGAAGCCGTTTAGCTTAAGCACTCGAGCTAGGAAAGTAATGTTAGGAATGCTATTGGTGGATTTCAGATTTTTATACCTTTTTCGTTAAACAGTATAGACAGTGCAAGGACTATATAAATAGAAATAACACTAAATTCGCCTTTAAATATGTCAAGATAATATTTTTCACTTTTTATTGCAAACCAGCCGAGATTGATAAGATTATCCTGGCCGACATTCAAACACAAACGCACACGCCAAATTACGGGCAGGCACCATAGAGACATTGTTATGCGTTACATTACAACATTAGGTAGTAAATTGTTATTTCTGTCGTACAACTCTTCTGTCCCATTCTGTCCCTGGCCACGATAATATAGTGGTTGCTACACCACGACATGCATTGAAGATACATTAAATCGTTTTAAAGTCTATAAGATTTCTAAATTTTTTTTACTCCTATTATGTGTCTGCAAAAAATATTCCTAATTCTTTCTCTCTCTCTCTCTCTATGTTTGATAATATACTTCAAGTAAAATGACATCTATACAGAAATAAATTAAGAACAATTTGTTCTTGGAAAGTTAAATAAGTGAATAAGTTAAAAAGATTTTAGTTATAAAGAGGCTCTATGGGAGTTGAAATGTACTGTACGATTACTACATTCCTTGTTTGTGCATGTTGCCTTTATACGGAAGATATGAATGAAATAGACGAAGATGTACGGTAAACAGCAGAACATCATAGGTGGAACGTGTATCTATAACTATTTATACCAATGCTGTTGTATTTTAAAGTTCATTATATGTGTTTTTTCAGATGTGGCATTTTATTTTATAACCGTGAGATCTCGCCTTACTATCTGAACCTTATATATTTTCCCTTTATTTATAAAAACCTCAAAATAGACTCACTATTTGAATTAAAAAAAATGTGGCTAAACACAATATTATTTTTAACTATTATATATTAAATTTAAAAATAAAGTCAATGTCAGTTTTGTTAATATGTAATCGATGTCTTAAGAAAATGTTGTGTGCATCTGTAATTGGTATAAATGCAAAATGCAAGCTCTACATATCAATTAAAACTAATGTCTGTATCTGTCTGTAATGTCTGTTACCTTTTAAAATAAATATATATACATATATAATATAAAGAGGAAAGATTTTACCTTATATTTGTAACAGATAAACTCAAAAACTTAACTGACTTTAAACCGTTACATTAACAGCAAATACATAGATAAAAATATTTTCCAAAAAAAAAAAACGAGAGAAGACTGGACGGGTCAATATTTGCTAAAATAGATTTGTACAATGTTTCAGTTTTGATGACAAAACCGTATGAATACACTATATGTGTGTCACAGACGATCTTACTATGTAGGTACAGCTCTTAAAACAAGATGCTCGTAAGCAAAATGCTTTGGTTACCGGTTGGAAACCGATATAGGGACATCCGCGGGCTGGTCACATAGCTCGAAGATCAGACAGCCGATGGATGAAAAGGTTCTTAAGCAGCGACCACGTACGGGCAAACACAATACAGAGAAAACTACTAGATAAAGTGACGACCTTAAATGCATAGCAGGGAGTCAATGGATGCAAGTGGCTCAGGACCGTTCCTTATGGTAGTCTATGGGAGAGGCTTATGTTCAGCAGGGGACAAGTAACGGCTGATATGATGATGATGATGAATGTGACCATACGTCTCATTACGTGCGGGATAATCTTTTTGTATACTTTATCTTCTGTTCCTGTGTTCCTGAAGTAAACTATCTAAGAATATAAATACACACACAAATCTAGAAATCATATTTAAAATCATCACCTGCCCATATTGAGCTAAAGTATTTGTCATAAGTAGCTTTATTTTTATTGTTATATTAATATTTAGCCGGAATGGATGTATGCCTGAATGAAATCCACCAAGTCCAGCGCCTCTTCGACTTTCGATGGTTTTTGTGGAAGAAAACTTAAGTGATATACAAATAGGTAGGTAATTTATCAAATTACTTCCAAAAGAAGATTCTTAAGTCATCAAATCTGAACTGATAATTTTTGAAACGACAAGGGATTTCTTTGGTGGTGATTCTAATCTCGTCAGTTACTGGAGTATGTGATTGCAAAAAAATTAAATCGTAACGTCCTGCACAAAAAAATATGGGCGAAATGAAAAAACATCTTTTTTGAAGTTATTTTTAAGTACCACACAATAACACTAACCGCCCGGCCCTCAAGGTAGGTACTGGGTACAGAGGAATAACACCTGAGTTCTCAGGAATGGCAACGCATGGGGCGGTATCATGCGAAACAGTATATTCTGTTATGTCCATGGTACTGCTCATGTCTATAGACGACGGTTACCACTTTCCATCAGGTGGGCCGTCAGCTTGTTTGCAATTCTAAGTTGTATTAAAAAAGTGTTATATAACATAGTGTTACAAGACATTGGGACACAACCTTGAAAAACCCAGCCCCTAGGCAATTCAGAAAAATACGATTTCTAAATTGGTCCAACCGGGATTCGAAACCAGAATCAGATCACACAAAGCACAGTGCCTACACACATATATCAATTTGTTCACCAATCGGAACTTATTCAGGTACAACATTCACCACGCCATAACAGTCATATAGACGCTACAAAAACAACTATAAGCCATCTGCGCATCCATCGCGCGTCTATTCTCTGCTGTATTTGCGACCGTCGTACGTAAGTCTGGTTAGATGCTGGTAAGATAGGTATTAAATAAATTTACTACACTAAAACTGTACAAAACTAGTCTGCTTGTATACATCTATCCTAGTTATATCGGCCGTAAAGCAGATGTTCTTGCATGGCTATGGTTGGTTTGGTTTAAAATTTTACTACCACAATAAAGTTACAAGATAATCTTTTAACCAAACATAAAAAAATTATAAAAACTTACATTTGAACCATGGCATTAATGTAATGTGTGAAATAGTGTGAAACATGGACAATGATGTAAAAGGAAAGAAAGATGCTTAAATTCGAGATGTAGACATGGAGGAGAATGGAAAAGATAAGCTAGATAATAAAAGCAACTAATGAGGAAGTCTTAAAACGGGTGAATGAGAAAAGAACATTAATAAAACCAACAGAGAATAGAAAAGGCAAAATGTTGGGCCACCTTTAACGACATTACAATTTTTTAAAGAGCATACTAAAAGGAAAAATAGAGAGTAAAATAGGAAGGGTAAGTCTGAGAAATAACCAAATGGGACAGATAATGAAAAACTAGGTGTCATGTCATATAGGGAGGTCAAAGATATGGCCTGAAAAAGAGGTGGCTGAAAGAGAATGTATAAATGTATGCCTTGACAAGAGAAAACTTTTAAATTAGAAGAGATCATCTTTTATTTATAATATCTATAATATCGGGAGGAAAGGGATTGTTAGTAATGGAGACTAAAAATCCCATTGCTAGCAATATACCCAACCAGCTCGACTTCCTCGTGGTTTCTCCTGGAAACTATCTAACCATGATAGTTCTTATATAGATAGTTCCTGATAATTTAATCATGATAGGCTAACTGGCCTGTTTTCATTCTCATCAATCACCCTGGTGCTCCTGGTGCTTGTACTCCACCAGTGTATCCCGTTAGCGCAGGAAGGGTTACCATTCCCTTTTTCACCCATAAAAAAAATATGTATGAAACATACACTTATAATTAACACTGTTATATTAGGATGAAGATACCACTTTACAGCTATTTAAAATGCGGAACTGGGACACTTTTTATGATTTTCAGCCCCTACTTCAATTCTAAATAAATCGGTTCATTCCCTTTTTATTAATTCTGCATTAATATAATACTTATAATAATGCCGTGCTAAGGGACAGTACACTGATTTTGCTATTAGTCTATTTTAGTTATTTTCATAGTTTACTCTCTTATGGAATATTACTATGGGGAAAAGCTATTAAGAATATATTCATATTACAAAAACGTTCTGTATAAGAGTCGTGACTCATTAAGAGAGAAATTCAAAGAGGCAAATATTCTCACCGTTTTCTCAATTTATATATTCAAATATCCTATATGTTCATAAAAATCTTGACTTATTTCCAAAAAACAGCAATATTCATAATATTAATACCAGATTTAAAGACAAACTTGCTGTCCCCAAGTATCGTTTAGAAAAAGTTAATAGGTCTTTTATGGGAATAGGTATAAAAATTTACAATAAGATACCAAAGGATATGTTGGAATTACCCTTAAATAAATTCAAAACATCTGTTAAATCATATTTACTGAGCAAAGCCTATTACTCACTAAACGATTACTTGAATGACGAGTGTGCATGGCAATAGTTGTTCATGCACTGAATTTTCATTTAATGTTAGACATAGACACCTATATAAATATACATTGTAAATAAACTGGCTTTAAAAAAAAAAGTAGTTCTTCTCAATATATACCGAACTGGGCGGTAGGGAAAAAATTAAAATTATATGTAAAAATTTGACGTTCATAAGCGGCTAAAATGTCTTACATGAATAAATGATTTTTGAATTTTGAATTTTTGACTTAATACATAACATCTATTGTAATTAATTAAAAAAACAAAACATAATTTTGTAATAAACTGATAAATATTTAAACAATTATGGAGAAACAATACACTTTTTGAACAATATTTTACTATTTCTGAAACTATAAATTTGATTCAATTTAAGCTGTTTCTTGTTTATCTATTCCCATAGTCATAAACTGGCCATACCTGTCATAGGTATTTTCTGAGACAATAAACAAATCTAACACAGGTTGATAGGGGGGAAAGGGATTGTTAGTAAAGGAGACTAAAAATCCCATTCCTAGCAATATACATAATCAGGTCGACTTCCTCGTGGTTCCCCCTGGAAACTATCTAACCATATATTTAATTCCATTCCATTCCAATAAAACCATATGGTTCATTCCTGATGAATTCATCATGATGGGCTAACTGGCCTGTTTTCTTTCTCATCTATCACCCTTCACTGGTGCTCCACCAGTGTATCCCATTAGCGCAGGCGAGGTTACCATTTCATTTTCATCCACCAAAAAAAAAGCACAGGTTGATATTTTTCTAGGTTTTTAACATATAACCATCTACTATGTATTGAAAAAGGTGCACAAATTCACAGCCATAACAAAGTTATGATTTATAATCTTTAAAGCCTGCACAAATATTATAAAGCTTTTTGCTTACAGTTCCTATAAAAATAGCAAATAAAAAATTACAAATAAGACTGCTTTGTGAGCACCCAGTTACAAATTAGATATTAAAGTATTAACTACATATACAGTAATAATTAATAACTTATTGAAATAAATGTGTAAACTGGCTAAAGACTAACAAAAACCAGGATGCCTGTGCCACAAACCTACTATGTACATAAATGCTATAGTTCTACTTAGATAATAAAGCAAATAAATACATGTATTGTAATAAAATCTATCTGGTCAGAGGACAAATTGATTAAGACAAAGTCAAGTAGAAACTAACTATAATAATTCCAAGTTGTTTATTCCATTACTATAAAAATAAAATCAATAAATAAAACAAAGATGCATAAAGCTTTAAACTATGAATGAGTCACCACTAATTACTGTTTTCATAAAAGAGAATAACATTTTTAAGATGATCATTACAAGATACTATTCTCAACTATTTTTAAATATTCTTATCATCTTTAAAAACAAATTATTTATTTATATACCTAAATATTTAATCTCTAGCAACTAACCAGAAAAATACTAACATAATGTAAACACACAAGTGTGACCACATTACAAGATCTTTAAGTAATTATGGGGGAATATTATTTTAAAAAAATTAAACTTGAGATAAAATAATGCACATCTAAGACCATAATATATATGATGCTGACTGCATTCACATATGATAAAGAAAGCAAAGGATGTTATCAATTTATAAGCAATAGCCTGCACTCTTTATTTACACAAATACAATCAAACTATAAAATAATAATAATAAAGTAATTAATTTAATATAATATATAAAATAGAATCTAGAATTATAAAAGTGCATGAATTAAGTGATATATATAAGATTGGAGGCATTTAGTTCTGTTTCCTCTTCTTACCCTGCAAGGGACTTAGCTCTAAACCCGATAGATAATGTCATATAATAGATTTTCGGTGAAGTGAGATGTAAAGACCTAAAGTAGCAGAATTAAAATGATTCGTACTTACCATCTTTAAGCAATTGTCGCATCTCCTTTGTTCGTTGAAAATTGATTTCTTCTAGTAACTGCTCCAGCATCGTCGCGTTTTTCAAAAATGTGGACCCTCCCAAAGACATTTTTCAGGGAGTAAATAATAAAATTCCGCGAGTTTTCCGAGTAAACAATATCGAGTGTCAACACACTCCGTCCACGGAGGCTGACGGTAAATAAAAAACTCGTATCTGTACCAAAGCACATGTTACCCATTCAGGGATTAGTAGAAAGAACGACATCAATTCCGCATAACACTACCGATAAACATTTAAATAACCCACCATTTTCACAGATATAACTCAAAACGAAAATCCACCATTGAAGTTTTTTGTTTTTAATAATTTTACGACCCTGAATACTATGTAGATGATATCTTAAATGTCGAAATAAAATGTTGCCAGATGAATTATAACAACATATTTCAATAAAGTTTTTGTTCTAAGTTTTTATACATCTACCGTGGTGAATATTTAAATAGCAATGGAATATTTAATCCCATTCTTTACCTATTTTATATTTGTAAACTATTCGGGAAAAATAAAGCCAGTCTTTCTTTATGGTTTGCTCAGCAATGATAGTAAATAAATGTTACGATTGGAGAAAAAAGATTGTTAGTGATGAAGGTTTGTTTAACAGTTCCATTGCCAGCAATCTCTTATACGCATTGCTAAAGGGAATCCAATTAGAAACTATTCGGGAAAAATAAAGCCAGCCTTTCTTTATAAAGCGCTATCGACAGTTAATCCACCTCTGACTGCTTTTACTCCCACCCAGGCCGCTAGTGTATATTGACTGCATAGGGTTCCGCCTGTTACTATTTCTGATATCACTCATTAAAAAAATTACAATGTTTGTCTCGGTACATATAGGTAGTATAAGTAGCAGATAATTACATAATAAATTGTCTAATTAGAAAGCAGTAGAATTAAACAAATGACATTGATTGATGTAATTGACAAATGAATGACGAAAGGACATCCTAACAAGTTCACAATTGACGTTTGCTTGACATTGGATTATAAAATATGTAAATCTGACAAACTTATAAAATATAACAAAAATAAAAAAAAATGACTAAATATAATTTAATTTTATTAAATATTAAAGGAACCATTGAAATACAAAAAGAAATAATCTATGCATTTGTATAATTATAAATCATAGTAAGCAATACGTATATTTGCCCAGTGTCGTCACGTCATCGATAAGACGGTGCTTATAGTGTTAAACTGGAGGAAGAACTTTGAAAATGTCTATGCCAGCGGTACGAGCTGCCTCTCGTTGTTTACGGGCGCTGCGACGGTCTGTTCGGCTAAGCAGCAGCGCTGTTATACAATGTGATTGTGGCAACAGAGGCGCCGACACCGGCTCTGGTTCGGGCTCTCGTGCAGGCGCTGATAATGAATATAGGACTCCACACGGCTCTCCACGTTCGTACGCGCTTACTATTGGTACACTGGGTTTGGCGCTGCTGGCAGCTGATCATATATACAATGGTAAATACTTTTTAGAATAGCATTTATTATTCTTATTTTCTTATTATTTGTTTTAAACTCATGTTATTATTTCAGAAAAACGATTTTTTAAGGCCGCACAACTTGGCAATGTTCAAGAATTACGCAAGTAAGTATTCGTTATTAAAAAGTATCAACACAATTAGTTTTATGTAATTTAAATTATATTTAGTCAGGTCCTGATGACTTCATATGCAAATAAACTGGGTTCAGAGATGTTTTTTTCCACAAATACTCTGGTTATGGAATAAGCTCCCTGCCAAGGTTTTCCCAAGAGACTAGAGCAAGGGGTTCTTCAAAAGGGGATAAAGAGGTTTCTTCAGGGTCAGCAATGTACACGTAATACCTCCGGTTTTACAGGCATTCATAGACTATGGTAACCACTTACCATCAGGTGGGCCATATGCTTGTTTGCCACCAAAATGGTATAAAAAAAACTGGATTCCTTAATGTTTTTTTTGTCATGCTGTATTATTTTGTACATATATCAGCTTCATTTATTTCGAAGTGGTCAATGTATATATATTACAAAAAAAATGTTTGATTAAAAAATCAGACTGAAAGCTATATGTCATATTCATTGTTATTATTCTGAATGAATTCGTTGTTTGTGAAATCTAAAAAAAGTTATTATTATTATAAAAACATTATAGACAACAACAACAGCTGTCTCCTAAAAAAATATATAAAAAAAATAAAAGGTATGTAAGTAGACCTATAGGAGTATTTCAAGTAATTCCTGGGGTCTTTAATTCAACTTTGACATATTTTTGTAAATGGTTGAGAAAGGTTGTGCTAGCATGTTGTTATTTACAAAGTTTTTTTTAGTAGATATACCAGTAAGTAGGAAGTACACTAATAACTGTAATGTTAACAGACTTTAACATTGTTAATATCCTGTCCTTATTCCAGATATAATGCAAAAATTAAAAAAAGTAACTTAAGTATGTTTATTAAAATAAGAGCATGTTTATAGACAGGTGGAAGCATTAATCGCAAGCGGCGAAGGAACACGCGAGGGGTCGAGCGACGAAGGCGGCGCGGCGGACCGGCGGCACGCACTCGGCTGGACGGCGCTGATGGCGGCCGCCGCCAACGATCGGCCAGCTGCTGTGGCCGAGCTGCTGCGGCTGGGCGCGCGGCCCGACGCCGCCGAGCGGTATGCGGGCGCCGCCGCCTCCGCCGCCGCCACCGGCCTGCACCCGCTCGAGGCGCTGCAGCGGCGCGAGGACGAGTTCTGCCCGAGCATGAACGCGCGCGCCTCGTTCCTGGGCTGGACGGCGCTGCACTACGCGGCGCTGGCGGACTCGGCGGGCGCCGTGCGCGCGCTGCTGCAGGCGGGCGCCGACCCGACGCGGCGCGACCACGCCGGCCGCCGCGCGCTGCACTACGCGCGCGAGCCGTCGGCGGCGCGCGACCTGCTGCTGGACCACGCGCGCCGCTGGGAGCTGGCCGCCGAGGCCGCCGCCGCCGAGGAGCGCCGCCGCTTCCCGCTCGAGCAGCGCCTGCGCCAGTACATCGTCGGCCAGCAGGCCGCCATCGAGACCGTCGCGGCCGCGGTGCGCCGCAAGGAGAACGGCTGGGCCGACGAGGAGCACCCGCTCGTCTTCCTGTTCCTCGGCAGCTCGGGCATCGGCAAGACGGAGCTCGCGAAGCAGCTCGCGCGGTACATGCACCGGGACGACCCGGCCGCGTTCATCCGGCTGGACATGTCCGAGTACCAGGAAAAGCACGAGGTGGCGAAGCTGATCGGCGCACCGCCGGGCTACGTGGGCCACGAGGAGGGCGGACAACTCACGCGCGCGCTGGCCCGCCGCGCCGACGCCGTCGTGCTGTTCGACGAGGTCGACAAGGCCCACCCGGACGTCCTCACCGTGCTGCTCCAGCTGTTCGACGAGGTGAGCGAACGCTCGCTGTCTCGTTTGCCTCTTAACATCATACTCAAATTTTAAGTAGATTTTCGTGTCAGGTTGTGTTTTTGCATTTCAGGGACGATTAACAGATGGAAAAGGAAAGCTGATCGAGTGTAAAAATGCTATTTTTGTTATGACATCGAACTTGGCGGCCGATGAAATAGCAGAGTACGGCCTCGAACTGCGACGAGAGGCGGAGGCGCGGTCCGCCCAGCGAGCTCGCATCCAGCCCCCGGTCAACGGTGACGCTAACAAAAGTATTAAATTAATTACTATTGATTTGGAAGTATTAAAACTTCTGTAAAATAAATAAATTATTTGTTTCAGCCGAGTCGGAATCCGACGACGAGCAAGATTCTTTGGACAAAAATGACGTCGAGGAATCGCTAGAAGTCTCGCGTCACTTCAAGGACAGCGTGGTCCGACCGATACTGAAGCGGCACTTCGGCCGCGACGAGTTCCTGGGGCGCATCAACGAGATCGTGTACTTCCTCCCGTTCTCGCGGCAGGAGCTGCTGACGCTGGTCAACCTGGAGCTGAAGCACTGGGCCGAGAAGGCCCGCACCAGGCACGCGGTCGAGCTGCACTGGGAGGGCGGCGTGCTGGGCGCGCTCGCTGACGGGTGAGACTTTTTACAAATTTCAAAATATTTTATTTCTACCCTGACCATGTTACAATATTTTATCAAACTTAGTCACGGTTAATTTCAATTCCAAACTTATGAGTGAAAATGTATAGTTAGTCAAATACACCGTTCGATTTTTTCTACCTTCACACTCGCTGCTGTGTCCACTCAAGTTACACAGTAAGTAGCAGTAAGTGTATATCGATCGTCTCGGTATCAACCGGCATGGCACAGATCGTCTCGCTTCTATGTCCTGTTGAGTGCAGATGACGCGGAATTTAAGATCATATTATACTGATCCTTTCCAGTTATCTTCTACGATCGAAAATCTGTATTTAATTTACTAATACCGATCACATTACATGGGAGATCGGTGATTCCGTTAACAGACCGGCGCTGTACGCACGCACTCGGCCCGATCTCGGATCGATCGACAGCGTATCTGTCGTTGCACATTTCTCTTCTGAGATGACACATATATAATTTCGTCATATAAAGGGATTTAATATTCGCAAAATATAACTAGATGGCGCTGCTAAATATCTACATTGCGCTATGACTTATGCTTCGTTGTTTCTAGTATATTATAATTTTTTTGTTCTTTCAGTTCGATCTACACCCGAATACGTTCTAGTTTCTTATACGCTTTGTTCTGTCATTATTTAAAGCTTTCTTAACAAGCAGTCAGTTTCATAAAACCGATTTAAAAGTAACAGTTTGAGGATGAGCAGTGGGCGCTAAAGCTGCGGCGCGTGGCGGTTGCAGGTACGACGTGCACTACGGCGCGCGGTCGATCAAGCACGAGGTGGAGCGGCGCGTGGTGAACCAGATGGCGCTGGCGGCGGAGCGCGGCGCGCTGGGCCGCGGCTGCGACGTGCTGCTGTCGGCGCGCGGCGGCCGCGTGCTGCTGGCCGTGCGCCGCCCGCCCGCCGCGCACTACGCGCCGCTCGACCTCGCCGCCGGCTGACGGCACACCGCTCTCGCCGACGACTCGACACGCTAATTTATTAAATAAATACTAATACATTGCGATGTTGTATTTTTTTTATGCAACTTAGAATAACAGACAAGCTGACGGCCCACCTAATGGAAAAGTGGTAACCGTCTCCTGACACATGAGCAGTACCATGGACGTAACAGAGTATACTGTTTCACTCATGATACCCCCATGTGTTGCCATTCCTGAGAACTTAGGTGTTCTTCTGTAAACAGTAAATTCACTTCCATATCCCACCCTTCAAACCGAAACACAGCCATGCAAACATAAGTGCGTCACGGTAGAAACATGAATGGGACAGAGATGCCCAAGCGAACCACTTATACAGTCTCCCTCTGGTATCTTTTCTCTGATCTTGTTCTAAGGGCTTGTGCGAACGAAGAAGATTACTCATATGCTATCAGTATTGTATAATACATACAATACACTCGACACTGTCTTATATATAATTATTATAAAATACGACCAAATTGAGAACTTCCTTCTTTTTGAAATCGGTTGAAAGCTGACCTAAACAAGACGTTCCACAAATAGTCATATACGTGATATGACTAACAAAAATACAATAAAAATAGGCATGACATTCTGCCGTACATTTTGGTTGTTGAACATATAACGCCGTCATTTAAATCAACTTTATTACTTTTAGAAAACATTGATCCTTCGAGCCGGACAGTTATGTCGTTACTCGTACAGCTTTCAAATTAAATGTACGTATGTTTTGTACTAGCTTAAACGTATAGTCAGAAATATATCTCAATTTTGATTAAATTAGATGTTCCACTCCAATCTGAACATTATCCATCAAAAAAATTGCACATCCGATGGGAAAACCTTAATCACCTCATTGTCTAGTTTTTGACACTATCCATGACGTGTAACATATACTGTTAGAATATTATATAAACTCGATGGAAAGAGAATAATTCATGCGCCCTTTTCACCTAAATAAATATTGAACTTATTCAATCTATATTAGCTGAATTTAAACAAATCAGAATTTTTTTTACTTTTTTATAATTTATTAATGCTCATTATTTCTTGTCTTTCCGTGAGTAGGCACAGGAGATAAAGTTTTATCTGAGAAGTCAGTTCAGGTTATAATAAGCCTGATATACCTGAAGAAGGTAAAAGCCCTTAAAACTTAAAAAAAACGTACGTAAGTACCTATGTTTTGAACGTTAAGACGTATATTGCCATAAAAATACCTCAAATAATTATGACGGAATTCTAAATGCATTTTTATTCTCATTGGAATAGACAGAGGTACCCAAGCAATCGACTTTTGTACAAAGTCTCCCTCTGGTATTAAAGTTATTATAGTCAGTTGGATATATATAAACTCATCGCTACCAGCTCGATGATCTGCTCATGCACGAGTTCGGCAGGTGCTATATTAATATTACGTTCATCATCATCATACCAGCCTTTAACTGTCCACTGCTGAACATAGGCCTCGCCCTATGGGGCGGTTTTATCAATAGTTACCACAATTGGCAGGCGAGTTGGCAATCGTAGTTAAGTTTTATTGATATTTAAAGAGGAATGCTCCTGCCCATCTCTCTTACGAATCGTCTCTTATGAGACCCATGAGAAAGGAAGGGGTAGTTCTTTTTATAATAGGACCACACGGCAGAAATATTACAGTAGTTTTTCTTTATACAACTTAGACTGGCAAATAAGCTGACGGCCCACCTGATGGAAAAGTGATAACCCTCGCCTATAAACATGAGCAGTACCATGGACATAACTGCACATAACAGAGTATACTGTTTCGCGTATGATACCCCCATGCGTTACCATTCCTGAGGACTCAGGTGTTATTCCTCTGTACCCAGGAAATTCACGCCATATCCCACCCTTCAAACCGAAACACAGCCATGCAAACACAACTGCTTCACGGTTGAAACACAAATGGGACAGATATTAGTTTCGTTAAATAAAATACTTTATGATACGAGGGAGGAAAAAATAAAACCCAAATATATGTAGTGCTTATTTTATTAAACATCGCACCATTATATACAAATATAATGTATAAATAAATAACAACTCTTTACAAAATATAATCGTTTATGCGCCGGCGGCCGGCGGTGAGCGACGAGCGGCGCGCGGCTAACAACTAAACACGTGTGAAGGCCTCTGGTCGTACTCGATAAACACTATCCAGTACTCAATGATATTATTACACAAACAATTAGACGATAGCACGCAAGTACACAGGAGGGACGATATGAGTGCAGATGTCGCGGCCGAGCCATGCCGGCCCACCCGCCTACCCACATACCAACCAAACAACCCAAACACCCACGAAATCTTATTTCCCTTCTCAAGACAAATTGTACACAAGGCTAAAACTTTAAAGTCACTTTATCACGTAGTTATGATGTGGTGATATGAGGCCCCTATTCTTAGTCTAGGTTGCATCATATTTGCGTCTACAACAATTGCGATTACGTTATCAATTGCATAGTGTTCTTTTCTTGCGACCCTATAATGGTCTGATTGAAGATGGCCGTGGGTATCGTGTCTTTGCAACAAGGTATTTCAGTATTTCTACAAGTTTTACTGCTAAGCATATGTGATCTCAGTGAATCGACAGACAATCGTAGGTAGACACGTGGCGGCCGGCACAGTTCCGGGTGCATGCTCTATGGACATCCCACTATTTCCCTCTATCAAAAATTTACCTTTTAACGAATTTACATAAAACCGTTGCATCTGCATTATATAAATATAAGAATGTAAACCTTTGTGATCACATACGATTATTAGGTATTGCATCAAATGTATATTAATATTTATTTATCTAATCTAATCTCTATTTAGCCTAAGTGTCTTATAAAGTCAGGGCTAGATATACGAACGCGACGGCTATTGTTAGGTACATCGAAAGGGGTAAGTACGACGGACACCTTTTAAAAAACCCTGTTTCGTGTTGTTCGTTTTACTTATTTATTACATACGACTGTTTCAATGTGCGCCGATAAACTAAATATTATTGGAAAACTTTCTGGAACACATCATTATAATAAATAACTTTAGCGTATATGCACACCATTACTACATAGTATGTATGTATGTATGTATATAAAATAGCTCACTTATTAAGTTCATAAATCACTAATAGTATTTTTTTTAATCTACTTACCTAATTGGTGTTCAATAAAATATGTTCTTGTTATTTTAGTAGGAAGAGCTACCGTCTAAGGTAAAACATGTATGCATTTATAGTTTATATCCTAGGTACTTATTAAATAAGTATTTCTCATGCATGCGAACAGCTAGGTGCGTAATAATTTCTACTTAAATAATAATTTAATAAGAGACGAGGAATTGTTGAAATTCCTAAATAAAGGTGATGGTTGTCATCTCAGATCATGATTGTGCAGCGTGTACCTACTATAAATTTATTTAATGACTTTCATACTTTATCATCTCAGGTAGTTAAGTACATAGGTAATGACACTTTACGTTTATTAGAATTAGGATATTCGAGTATAGGCAGAGTGAAGGACAATGATAAGCATTATGTCTATAAATCTTGTCTTACTCAGGCTGACAAGATGTTGCTGTACCATTGATTCTTACAAATACAATGAAACTCTTGTACAAATTCGCATGTAAATTGGACAATCGATAACTGACACCAGAAACCGCTTACATCTTTCTCACGACTAATTTAATTGGTAGGCACTATTATTATGCGAGAGAACTGAGCGGACCCATCGACGTAGTACAACAAATCCAAACATTATGTACTTACTTCCTATTAATTCATTTAGTGGCAACCTAAGAACAAGGAATTACATAGAAGAAACGATAAAATATAAAGTGTAAATCATATGGCTGCCTCCTTTCTTCTTATACAAATATAATTAGTAAAAAGAGAGCGAAAGATACGCCATCACTTGCTATTTTTTTCAATTCATAGCAGGCTAGTGTATAGAAAATGTTATATGGTCGTATAACCCTACCAAATTCAGATGCAACCTGCTTGCATACTTTCTACATAAACTGTGTCGAATATATAATCTAGCAATGTAAAATTTGTCATTGACAAATAATTGACATATCAAACATTTTCTATACACTAGCCTACTATGAATTAAGAAATAAAGCAACTGACGGTGTATCTTTCGTCCTCTTTTTACTAATTATATCTGTATAAGAAGAAAGGTGGCAACCATATGATTTACAGTTTTTATTTTATCATTATTTCTATGTAATTCCTTGTTTTTAGGTGGCAACACTAATTACAGAGACATCAAAATGTCATGTTGTGCTTGGAATAAAAATTAAATGCTATTATGCTATTAAGAATTAGAGTTTCATTTTGAAATTGTTAATATTCAAATAGGTTATAAATTCAGAGTTAATAAAATCGTAAATCCGTGTCAGTAGCTACATCGGTAAACACAATAGACGATTTTGATTTAATAAATCATCAATTATTTATACCTGTTACATACTGTGTACCATTACCATATTTCCCATTCCTCGTTAATTAATTAACTACCTATACTATGTGTGCAATTACATACGACACATTATAACATATTATTACAATAAATTGACTAAATGCTGTGATATAAATTATGCACCTACCTACTAAGGGACCTTAGATGTAGGTATATATTTTATACATTATTTATAATTATTTGATAAGAATGAGTTAAACAAAGATATATGTAGGACTACTTTAGCGTCGATAATTTGAGTAGAAAACTTGTCAGCGCCTCTAACGGATAATTTCAAAAACTCAGTTTTTCATAAAAATCTATCGACGTGAACGTGAACGCAGTCATAATAAAACTTTGTACAACTCACGCCAACGAATCAGCCTCCGAGATAGGTGGCAAATGAATCTATCGACAGAATCGTATCGGATAGCGCCCGCGTGAGAAATAACAAGACGTCGGATATGATCATCTCACCCTAGGTCGTGGACTCTAGCGATAGCTATAACATTGATAGATTTGTTTGCCACTCGCCTAGGAGCTGGTAAAAAATAATCTGTAGTGGTAAACCATTACTGAGTATTTTTTGAAAACATATTTTCCACGTAGGTAGATAAGTTAGCAAGTTTCAACCACAACAGCCATTCTCAGCTGTCATCCTGATTTTGAATTTCGAACTATCAATATTAACATTATCAATATTTTCTAGGTAGTATAAAGTTATAACAAATCGTAACGTGACTGGACCATTCGTTTCCATGTAAGTGTCAAATATTAAACGTATTACTGTAGTCACACCTACATACTACACAGAAGCTCGTTTAGACTAAAATACACATGATAATTTAGTACGTGGCCTAAATTATTAGTAAATGGTCTTTGAATCATTGAACTTAGACATGATACTGTAAATAGAGCCTTATGACTATTACTAGTACTCCTGTGTACCTTCGCTAATAGCTTTTAAAAGAATTCGCTATAAAAGAATGTTATAATTTCAATAGATAGTACTTGATTATTGCTTGCAAAAACTTTAAACATTAGTATATATGCACGGACATAAGGTAACTATCTACATACGTGACACTTGTTTTACACACTCGTATCTACTTACGTGGTTACAAATAATATGCCTTTTTAATACATACAAGTTACCCTGTTGTGTTTTCAACTGCCGAAGGAAAACAAAAACTGACTGCGGAATGAACGTTGCGTTCCTCTCACTATCTCGAACTTCTTACTGTACATTTTAAAATTAGGCACGAATTTTCATTGTACGAAAAGGAACTAAAACTGTCTACGTTGCGTTCTCGTCTCGTACCGGGGCGACCTGGACTCGGACCGCGTACGGCGGCGGCGGGCCTGTGAGCGGGGAGATGTCGCGGGCGCCGCTACAGCCAGCCGGCCGAGTGGTGCGGCGCGTGGCCGTGCAGCGGCGTCACGCCGGCCAGCCGCGCCAGCGCCGCGCAGCGGCCGCACGTGACGCCCGCGCCGCCGCCCGCGGCCGCGTCCGCGCCGCCGCCCGGGCCCGCTGCTGCCTCGGCGCCGCCCGCGCGCTCCGCCGCCGTCGCGCCCGCGCCCGCTTCGCATCCGCACTGCCCACAGGTTTCCTGCGAGAAACGTGCCCGTCCACTTGACTACTATACGAGACTGGCGGCGGAACTACGCAACCTACGGCACTCATTATTAAACTCATCAATAGCTCCGACGTCGCACGTACCTTGTGGGCGTCGTCGTCGAGGCTGGCCAGGAGGGGCTCGCGGCTGCCGCCGCGCGCCGCGCCGGCGGGCGCGTGTGGCGGCGGCGGCGCGGCGGGCGGCGCGGGCGGCGCACGGGCCGGCGGCGGCGCGGGCGGCGCTCGCGCCGGCACGGAGCTGGCGCGCTGCAGCGCGTCGGGCGGCTGCGCGGCGGGCCGCGGCGCGGCGGCGGCGCGGCGCGAGTCGGAGAACTTCTTGCGCTTGCGCTTGAGCGCGGCCAGCGCCGACAGCGGATGCAGCGGGCCGCGCTCGGGGCTGCGCTGCGAGTCGCTGCCCGACTCTGACCGCTCGCTCCCGCTGCGAGTACACGCCACTCTGTCACTTTTTTGTACGGTACCGACTTCGTGATACAAAAATCGACCTGTATTAACACTAAAGACATTATACGATATATATGAATGATCTATAGAATCGAGTAAACGGGTAATAGGATTAGGAGTGCCTGAATCCGATTCCTCTTTTTTCTACTTTATTTTTTGAAAATAAAGTAGAAAACTTTCGCCCAATACTGCCCGCTCCGTCTAAACTTTTCGAGAGACTAGTACACAATATAATTTATCCTGCTTCAAATCAGATTATCATTGAGCAACAGCATGGTTTCGTCCAACGACGATCTACTATTACTAATCTACTTACTTTTAAAACTTATTTATTTAAGGGATAAATGCAAGTAAACAGACAGACACTGTGTACACAGACTTCAAGATGGCACTTGATAAGGTGGACCATAAATGACTTCCTGACAAACTTGCACACAATAGTATTCGCGGTAACTCGTGGCCTACATCTCTAATCGCACACAGAAGGTTGTAATAAAAGGTTTTGAGTCAGATTCTGTACGCGTAACCTCTGGTTCTAGCACTATAACAAATTGCATCGTCCGTAGACAAGAGAAAAAAAGAGACAAAAAGTGAGAATTCGGCGAGACCTGGGCGAGGCGCGCGCGTGGTCGCACACGGAGTCCTCGGAGCGCGAGCGGCCGATGAGGCGCGACACGCGCGCCGCCCGCGCCGCCTCGATGATGGTGCCCCAGCGGCGCTTGTGCGGCGCCGGCTTGCGGCGCGCCGCCGCCGGCGCGGCCGGCGCGGGCGCGGCGCCGCCGTCCGACAGGCTGGACTGGCTGGTGCGCAGGCGGCCGCCCAGCAGCGCCGACAGCGACGCGTGGTGCGCCGCGCCGTGCACGCCGCCGTGCTCGTGGTGCAGCGACGCGAAGAACTCGTCCACCGGGGCCAGCGACCCGCCTGGTGCTATGTTGAAACCTTTCATGAGCCGCCGCTCCTTCTGTCGGTTCTTCTTGCCACCACCGCCACCTATAAATATCGAATTAGTAGCTATTTACAATTATTTAAAACTATTCGTCACTCTATTTATATATATTACAAAGTTTACACGATTCGTAGAATGATATTTGTGATTTAGTAAAAGTTTTAACGGGATGGATTAGTACGATATCGGCGGCGCTGGTTACCAGGTGCGCCGGCGTTGGCGGTGGAGGTGTTCATGCCGGAGTTGCGCAGTATCTCGACGAGCTCGCAGCGGAATGCGCTCACGTCCTGCTTGATCTCGTTGACGTCGTCCTCGGTGACACCTCCGCACTCCGCGCGCCGCTGCTGGACCGTCACGTACCGACGTACCAAGTTGCGCATTATTGCCTGCGGGAATACAATAAAATATCCATCATTAAGTGATAGTGGCAAAAAACGAAATATAGTTTTAGTGATGGAAAGATCTTTTTTTTTTTTTTTTTTTTTTTGTGGGTGAACTTAAAAATATTTTCGTCATATTAATTATTATCCATTAATTTGCTGTTTCGTCTATATAAGAAATTATCGTTAAAAATGGCTGACTGCGAGGCTTGCAAGGTAAAAGTAAAAAGTACTGAACAGATATCTTGCTGTAAATGTGATTCTATGTATCACTATCAGTGTTTGAATATTTCAACTGTAAATTATAAAAAACTTTCTAAGGAGGCAAAAAGTTCTTGGATATGCCCGAAATGTAAATCGAGTATGCCTAAGGCGGATAATTCGGATACTCCGGTAAAAGCAACAGTTGATATAAACAGGGACTCAGTCAATGTTCATCAATTGACAGAATCTATAAAACAGCAATTACTACCGTGGTTGATAAAAGAAATGCATGACGTTATTAAACCAATGTTTCAAGCGGAGCTATCTCCCATACGCAGCGAACTGGCAGCACTTCAACAGTCTATTAATTTTCTTACTCACAAAAATGACGAGTTTCAAGCAACATTGGCTACTTTGTCCAAAAAAACTGACGATATTCAGAAAAACTCTAACGCATTACAAGAAACTGTGATAAGTCTTAGCGATCGCATAAATTATTTGGAGCAGCATCTTCGCGAGTGTAATGTAGAAATTCATGGCATACCGGAAAACCGTTCTGAAAATTTACTACATGTTATTAAGAAATGTGCCGAAGTAGTTGAGTGCAAGCTGGATGACATGGACATAAATCATTGTGTTCGTGTAGCCAAAAGAAACAGAGACAGCAAGAAACCACGTACTGTTGTTGCAAAATTCCGTAGTGTACGTCGCAGAGACGATTTTTTATCTGCTGTCACTAATTACAACAAAGCCCATACTAGTGAAAAGCTCAATTCGTCGCTTTTAAATATTGGTGGCAATAAATCTCCAATATTCATTTCTGAACATCTATCACCATCTAATAAAGCTATCCATGCTGCTGCCCGTATAAAGGCGAAGAATTTGCATTATAAATTTGTATGGGTTCGCAACGGTCGCATTTATATGCGAAAATCTGAAAATACTCCTGCTTTTCTTGTTAATTCAATTTCATTTTTGGATACACTAGGAAAATAACATTTATTTTTGTCTCTCTCTTTTGTTATTTTTACATTTATATTTTTTTACATTTGTATTATTATTATTATTATTTTTTTTTTTTATGCTTTGTAGCGACATAAATATCTACTACCAAAACATTCGCGGTATGAAATCGAAGTTGTATGATATACAGAAGGCTGTTCTTACTAATGACTATGAAATAATATGCTTGACTGAAACTTGGCTTGATGATAACATATTATCCTCTGAGTTATTTGATAGTAGATATATAGTTTACAGAAGGGATCGGGATGTGGTATTCAGAGATATGTTTAGAAAATCACATGGAGGGGGCGTTCTCATAGCAGTGTCCAAAAGTTTTACTGTGGATAGTTGTATATCGCAGCAAACAGTTGTTGAAGATATTTGGATAAGGGTATATTTTAAAAATATCAAGTTAAATATATGTACTGTTTATCTTCCATCTTACATTCCAGATGATATGTACACTCAGTTCATATTTAACATTGAATCATTGGTGTTATGCGCTTCTGAAAACGAGCACTTTCTAATTATAGGAGATTTTAATCTTCCCAATATTTCATGGAACAAGGTTGATAATATGACAGTGCTAACGCCAGTTTACAGTAAAAATATATCACAAACGAACACTAAATATAATAATTTTTTAGATTTTCTTGATAGAACAGGACTTACACAGCTAAATCGTTTAAAAAATTTTAATAATTTAACGTTAGATCTTGTTTTGGTTGACGATTGCTTGAGTTATAAAATAACTCAAGTAGAACCCATTAGTCGTGTTGACTTGCACCATCCCCCAATCAATATAGGTAGACGATTTACTCCAAAATGATACCACTTTAATAGTTCCACTAGTGTTTTTTTATATTTATTTACATAACAAAATTATAGTTATAAGACATTACACACAGAGATACAAGAATGGTATGCTAAAATTCAAATCATTCTTATTCTTTTTTTAAATATACTATATGGCTTCTTTCCAGCCATGACCATACCGCCCACCAAGGACTATATGACAATATTGTCCTTAATCCGCCCACCATGAATAAATACTTTACAAAATTAAGATAATTAAAGAATAAACAATGTCCTTGGTAGAAATTTAACAATATTACCCTACATATAATAATGAACAAACATAACATAATACTTTGAACTGCTTTAGATCTTAATTATAGTTATCAATTAATGTTAGACGCTCACTCTTAAAATAAACAAAATAACTATGGTAGAAAACAAAGTTTTGATACAGCCCTTTTTATAATGCTGTTTTTGCAGCGTAAACTAACAACACGTGTAACACCGTCTATTCCCGGGTGCTTTTCAACTATAAAACCATAAAGCCATTATATGCTGGCGGAAGATCATTCTCCATCACCAACACTATGTCACCTATTTGTAGTTGTGGGACCTTATGATTACATTTATATCTATGATGAAACCGAAGGAGAAACTTAAGTAAACTTCTATATATTATTAATAAGATTATAGTGTGCAAACTATGTAAAATAATGCACTGATGATATGTACCATTAATATTAGTACATTGCGACTGTCTATCAACTCTTAGAGTTTCATCTTCATCATTCCACGGATTCGAGAAGGTAAGTACAATTTTCTTTTCTAATCTACTAATAATAACACTATCTATAATAACACTACTGCTAATCTTTCTTTTTCTTTCTTCGTTCTTTAATTCATCAACCAGGTAAGTTTCTTGAAGATTCTTTAGATACTGTAACCATTTATTCAAAAGTTGTATTAGTAATTCTTCATCTAAACCTATTCCAGAGAGCCATAACATTTGGATAAATGTTCTTACACGAATAACAGACATTAACCATTCAACTGAATTAAAAATCCGAGAAATATCGGAAATAACTTTTCTTTTAGTTACAGGTGCCTTCAGTTCAGGCAGTTGTACAACATATTCAAAATGATCACTACTTCGATTCCAGGTCAGTCCCAGAATTTTCAAAACACTATCTATTTTTAATTGCACGCTTCCTTGTGAAGCTACATCCTCTTCACTAATTACTTTCAATAATTCCTCACTATTACTACTCCATTTCTGAAGCTCAAATCCTCCTTTTTTCAATAACTCATTTATCTCCTTATAGATTTGAATACCTTCTTCGACTGACTCACAACCTGTTAGTAAATCGTCCATATAAAAATGATTTAGAACTCTTTCAGCAGCAAGAGGATAATTTTTGCCTTCATCATAAACAATTTGATGTAAACACCGAACAGCAAGGTAAGGTGCTGATACCGTTCCAAATGTTACTCGTAATAGTCTCATATGTTGCAGTTCACTTTCCGGATGATCACGCCATACCAGACGTTGAAAGTTAGTGTGTCTTTCCTCAACCTTTATCTGTCTATACATTTTAATTATATCAGACACAAGACATATAGGATAACGACGCCAACGTATTAAGAGATGACGCAAGTCAGCTTGAAGAGTGGGTCCTACTAATAAATCTTGATTTAAAGATACGCCATTTGTACCAGGACAACTTGCATCGAAAACAACTCTTACTTTTGTAGTGGTTCTATCCTCTCGCACCACTGCATGGTGTGGTAAATAGACTGCTTCAGGATCATCTTGTTCAGTTATTGGTACTTTCTCCATGTGTCCTAATTCTAGATATTCTGAAATTACTTCAGCGTATTTAATTTTTAAATTAGGATCCATTGATAATCTTTTTTCTAGTTGCAGAAATCTTTTAGTTGCAATAATTTTAGAATTGCCATATTTACGACTGGGATCATCACTACGGAATGGAAGATTAACTATATATCTCCCTGAATTGTCCCGCTTCGTAGTATTTGTAAATATTTCTTCACATTTCTTTTCTTCTTCAGATAAATGTTTTTTAATATCTACACTGTTTTCAGCTTCCAACTCCCAAAATTTCTTTAATAAGTCATCTTCACTTACATGAGAAATATGCATACTAATTAGTAGCCTTTGTATATTATTTTTATCTAAATTTACAGGGCCAGAAATAATCCAACCAAGCGTTGTTCGCTGAGCTATAGGTACACCTGGTGGACCTTTGATTACACCATCTAACAATATCTGACTGTAAACATCTGCTCCGAGAATAATATCGATTTTGTTTGGTGTATGAAATGATGGATCTGCCAGTTTGATATTTGAAAACTCTGACCACAGTTCTACAATAACTTGCCTCTCAGGGAGGATTGAAGTGAGTTTACTCAAGACAAAAGCTTGAACCTTAAACGTAAAATTGGGATCATGAAGTGATTGTAATGAAACCGATACCATAGACTTAGAGGTCAATGAATGACCCTGATCACTTTCTAATCCTGTAATAACACTTTTGTGTGGTATCTTCTTTAAGGTCAGCAATTGAACAGCAGATTCAGTAATAAAACTAGCTTGAGAACCTGGATCTATTAAACATCTCAGTGTGATACCATTACCTGATTTCGATTGTGCGCTAACTAATGCTGTTGCAAGTAAGACTTGACAGTTTGAGGTCGAAACACAGGCTGTGACACTAGTGGATTGATCTACAGATGATGATGTTGTTGCATGTGCAACGACATCTTGTTCAACCGATTGATTTGCGATACCTGTAGTGTCGGTTGAATTGACATTGGTAACATTTTTTAAATGGAGTAGAGAATGATGCTTCCGTCTGCATAAACGGCAACGAGAGATTTGACGACAAGCAAATACAGAGTGCCCTGGACATAAACAGTTAAAGCACAAACCCTGGGATTGGACGAATTCGCGTCTAATATCAGTTTCCTCTTTAGAAAAC